AGAAACCAACCCTGCAGACACCTTGATCTTTGACATCTAGCCTCACAGAATTGTGAAATAAATGTCTGTTGTTTGAGCCGCCCAGTCTGTGCTACTTGTTACAGCAGCCCAAGCTGACTAATACATGCACCTTGATGCTCCTTCACCCTGACACCCTGCCTGCTGTCTTGTTGCGGGCCTGATGGACAACTGCTCTCCTATTTCCCAGACCGTATCCTCTGCTTGGCTCATCCTGAAGCCTCCATTCTGGCTCCCTTTCCACTGGGCCCCACCCTCGTCCTTCTTGTTTCCCCAGGGCCAAAGGGGCCTCCTAGGTAGAAGGCACACCATGGCCCAAGTATCACCCCACAGCAGGAGGAAAAAATGCCACCGGGGGGCTCCTATCAAGACTTGAACCCCCGCTGCTCCCACTTCTCCTTTACAAGGGAAAGTTCAGTGATTTCTTAGCACTTGCCAGGATCCCCATTGAGGGCAGAACTGGGAAGGCCAACAGTGGACACCTTATATACAGAGATGGCTTAGATTATCCCAGAAGCATTTTCATTTCATTTAACAGAATTTGTATGTTGTGTTTTCCTCCAGATGATTTCTAATGTGGAAATAATTTTATATGTTGAAAGTCTCAATATTTGCTAAGTGGAAGCTGGTGTTATTTGTCAGGTTAGGTTTATGGAGGTATAACTTACATCCAGTAAAATTTACCCTTTCTAGATGTGCAGGTCCATGAGCTTTGACAATCGTATGTAGTTTTTGAGGAACCACCACCACAGTCACGATAGAGAATGCTTTCATCACCTTCTAAAGATGCCTCATGTGTGAACCTTTGCCCAGCAATGGCTTCTGAGCAGAGGAGGTGACACGATTGAGTTGATGCTTAGGAAGGTTGAATCAGAAGCAATTTTCAAGAAGGACTGGGAGGAAGAGTGATTATTTTTTAAGGCAGAAAAACTAGAAAAAAAATCCCACTGGCAAGTGGGAGGATGGGCAATCCTGGGCAACACCTCCTGAAGGCCCAAAGGAGGGCAGGATGTCAGAACCAGGACAGGATGATTTTTAGTGCCATCCTTATCTCAGTGGTCCCCTTAAGGCTTCTGATGCTGCCCTCCAGAGCTTAGATAGGCACAAATTTAGAACATTTTATTATTTAAACAATTTTGCAAAAAATTACAGCCGTAACTCCTTCACTTAATATGGTTATTTCATATTTCTGTAATTTTTTTCTTTTTTTTATAAGTTTTTTTTTTAATTTATTTTTAGCTGCATTGGGTCTTCATTGCTGCATGCTGGCTTTCTCTAGTTGCAGCGAGTGGGGGCTACTCTTCTTTGCGGTGTGCAGGCTTCTCATTGCGGTGGCTTCTCTTGTTGCAGAGCACGGGCTCTAGGCTTACGGGCTTCAGTAGTTGTGGCACGTGGGCTCAGTATTTGTGGCTCGCGGGCTCTAGAGCGCAGGCTCAGTAGTTGTGGCACATGGGCTTGGTCACTCTGTGGCATGTGGGATCTTCCCAGACCAGGGCTCAAACCCGTGTCCCCTGCATTGGCAGGGGGATTCTTAACCACTGTGCCACCGGGGAAGTTCTGTTTTTTTTTTTAATTCATGACTTCTACCAAGTTGTGTTGACCTCTACTTACTTGACATTATTTTGCATACACTTTTCCCCCATGTATAATTTATATATTTATTTATCTTTTATTGTGGTAAAATATACATAAGACTTACCATTGTAACCATTTTAAAGTGTATAATACAGTGGCATTTGGTACATTCACAGTGTTGTGCAAGTGTTAACGCTGTCTAGTTCTAGAGCATTTTCATGATCCAAAGAGGAAAGCTTACACATTAAGTAGTCACTCCTCATTCCTCCTCCCCTCCCCCCACCTCCCACAGCACCTGGCAACCACTAGTCTACTTTCTGTCTCTGTGGATTTGCTTACTCTGGGCATTTCATATATAGAGAATCATATATATGATTCTTTTGTGTCTGTCTTCTTTCACTTAGCATAACGTTTTGAGGTTTATCCATTGTTATAGCGTGTATCAGTGCTTCATTCCTTGTTGTGGCTCAGTAATATTCCATTGTGTGGATATACCACATTTTGTTTATCCGTTCAGTAGCTGATAGGCATTTGCATTATTTCCACCTTTCGGCTATGTGAAGAGTGCTACTGGGAACATTCACATGCAAGGATTTGTCTGAGAACCTGTTTTCACTTCTTTTGGGTATATACTTAGGAGTGGAATTCCTGCATCATTTGGTAATTCATATGGTAATTCTATCGTTAACTAACTGAGGAACTGCCAACCTGTCTTCCACAGTGGCTGTACCATTTTTTACATTCACAACAGCAATGTATGAGGGTTCCAATTTCTCCAGTCCTCACCAACACTAGTTATTTTTTGTTTTTGTTTTTGGTGATAGACATCCTGGTGGGTGTGAAGTAGCATTTCATTGTGTTTTTGATGCACACTTCCCTAAAAAAGTGACTGTCAGCATTGAGCATCTTCTCAGGTGCTGGTTGGCCCTCTGTGTATCCTCTTTTGAAAATGCCTATTCAAGTCTTCTGCTTATTTTTACATTGGATTTTTTACCTTTTTGTTGCTAAGTTGTAAGAGCTCTTCATATATTCTGGATCCTAGACCCTAATCAAATAAATGATTTGCAAATATTTTGTCACATTCTGTAGGTTGTCCTTTTATTATCTTGACAATATCCTTTGAAGTGCAAACTTTTAAATTTGGATGAAATCCTATTTATGTAGTTTTTCTTTTGTTGCCTATGCTGTTGATGTCTTATCTTAAGAAACCATTGCCAAATCTGAAGCCATGAAGACTTACCCCTATGTTTTCCTCTGAGTCATATGGTTTTAGTGCTTCTGTTTAGGTTGTTCATCTGTTTTGAATTAATTATTGTGTACAGTGTCTGGTGAGACAAGGGTCCAGTGTCATTCTTTTGAATGTGGATGTCCAGTTGCCTAGCACCATTTGTTGAAAAGACTCTTCTTTCTCCATTGAATGTTCTTGGCATCTTTATTGAAAATCAGTTGCCCATAGATGTATGTGTTTATTTCTGGAGCTCAGTTCTACTCCTTTGGTGTATATATATACGTATAGTTAAAGAGTTTGTTTTACTTCTGTGTATTTGTGAAATTTCTTCTGTCATTTATTTCTAGTTTCTATTGTGAGAGGGAAAGATACTTTATATGAATTCAGTATTTTAAAATGTATTGAGACTTGTTTTCTGGCCTAACGGATAATTTATCCTGAAGAAATTCTACGTGTATTTGCAAAGAATGCACATTGTGCTGTTGCAGGGTGAAGGGTTCTGTGTCCGTCTGGTTATGTTTAGTTGGTTTATAGTGTTGCTCAAGTCCTCTGTTTTCGTTTGATCTTCCATATAATTTCATTGTTGAAAGTAGGATATTGAAGCCTTCAGCGATTATTTTATAATTATTTCTCCCTTCGGCTCTGTCATTTTGCATCACATAGTTTGGAGCTCTGTTTTTAGGTGCATATATGTTTATAATTGTTATATGTTCTTGATGACTGACCCTTATATCAATGGATAATGGCTTGCTTTGTCTCCTAGCAATTTTTGACTTAACATCTATTTTTTCTGAGGCTAATATAGCCACTCCAGGTCTCTTTGGGTTTCTATTTACATGGAGTATCTTTTCCGTCCTTTCACTTTCCATCTATTTGTGTCATTAGATGTAAAGTGAATCTCTTGTAGATAGCATATAGTTGGATCATGTTTTTTTAGTCCATTTTGCCAGTATCTGCCTTTTGATTTGAGAATTTACTCCATTTATGTTTAAACTAATTACTGATAAGGAAGAATTTCTGCCACTTTACTGTTTGTTTCTTATACATCTTACGTCTTTTTTTGTTTCTCAGTTCATCCATTACTGCCTTCTTTTGTGTTTAACTGATTTTCTTTGTAGTGTGTGATTTTGATTCCCTCCTCATTTCCTTTTCTATATATTTTGAAGTTATTTTGTTAGTAGTGACACTGGAGATTATAATTTATATCTTAAATTTATTACAGACCTGTTTGAATTAGTACCAACCTAGCTTCAATAGTATACAAAAACTCTGCTCCTATACAGCTCCATCCCTCCTCTTTATGTTTTTATTGGCACAAATTACATCTTTAAACATTGTGTGTTTATTAACATATGTGTATGATTTTTTTTTTAAGTGTTTTTCTTTTTTTACAATTGTATTAAGATATAATTGACATATACCATTTTATAAGTCTAAAGTGTACAGCATAATGATTTGACTTATGTACATCATGAAATGATTACCACAATAGGTTTGTATAATATTGTTTTATGCAATATTTCATACAGGTTTAAAAACTGTTGATGTCTTTACACTTGCCCATCATGTCCTTGAAATGAGAGGTCAGATCAAGCCTCCTTCACCTCAGCAACTTGATCTTTGTGGTACGTGTGCTGAGTCCTTGGGGTGGAGCTGGAGGGGGAGTTCCTTCCTGGGCACCCAGGGGCCCAGGACCTCCTCTAGAGCACTTAGCTCTCTTCTGGAGGTTCGCCTCACCTGACAGGTGGTTCCTTCCAGGATAAAACGCCCAGTGGTGTGCAGATGGCCAGGCCCGAGAAGGCTGTGCTAGCCAGTCCTTGGAGAGAAGGTAGGTGTCGCTCCCCTGTGCAGGTAGAGCCTTTCTGACGTTTGGGGCCACGAGGGAGTGGAAAACGCACAGTTGAGGGACTCCGCTTGCATGCTGCCCACAGCAATCCCAAGCCACCCCTCTCCTCAGCCAGTGTGGTGCTGTGGCTGGGATGGTGGCGGGCAGGTGGGGACACTGCAGGGCTCTGTCCCGTCCACAGGGGTTCAGGCAGCCGCTGCCAGGCCCATCCTCTTGCCCGACCTGAAGAGCAGCTGCCTCGACCACCCCCTGCACCAGGGGTTCCTGCACCCCACGCGGCACCTTTGCAGCCCCTCCTCTGCTCCAGCTCCCAAGTCGCCAAAGAAGCCCAAGATGCAGGCCGATGGTGACATGTTCCCCAGCGACTGGAGCCCACCGCCCGTGGAGTTCCTGAAGCCAAGGGCCCCACTGACTGACAGCGGGGCCCCAGCCCAGAGGCAGGCAGGCACGGCGGGGCCTCGGGGCCTGAGAAGACTGGCCCACCAGCTGCCCAAGGAGTCAAAGCAGGAGTCCCAGGACCCAGACCCCGTGGGGGGTCTGGCCTCACTGGAGGAGCCGTTCTGGAGCATGGCAGGCACCAGCCCAAAGGCTGCAGCGCCATGGGTGGACGCCCACACCTCGGTAAGCCAGGAACTGCCCCTTGGCCTCCTCTCCTTGCCGCCCTTCTTCATCCACCTCTCCTTAGTCACCCCCAAGCCACCCCTTTTTGGCCATCCTCCTCAGCCACGCCCCAACTGCCCTCCTTCGGCCACCTCGCCTTGACTGTCCCTCCTTGGCCACACACACCCCGCCACCTCTCCCCAGCCCCTGGGCCCTCGTGCCTGGGAGCTTGGGCCCCCAAGGCTGGGCTGCACCTCTCCCTTTATTTCTGCTCCTAACTCCTGCTAATAAAAATGCCTGGGGTGGTACCGTATTTGATGCCGCCCCTGTGTGGGTCCCATCAAGGCTTTTGCAGCTGTGGTTGGGCTCATGGGTCTGGGCGAGGTCAGGCACAAAGCCTCAGGCTAACTGTGGTCCAGCGACCTGGGATTCCGAAGTGGAAACTTCAGTGATGAACTTTAAGCCGGGAATAAACTGTGGTTGCTGGGAAGATTGTGGGGACATTTGAGTGCCCATAGATCCAGGAAATTTATTCTAAGAATAGGATTTATTTGTAATAGCTCAAGATTGCCAATAACCAAAATGCCAATCACTGGGGAACTAATAAATTATGTTCTAATCATAAATCAGAGTACCATGGAACTGGTTTTTTTTTAAAACAAACAAACAAACAAACAAAAAAACTATCCCTTTAGTATTGATATGGAATGACCCTGAAGACATATTGTTAACTGAAAATCAGCAAAGTGCAGAATAGGGGGTGTAGCGTGCTACCACCTGTGTTGAAGGAGAGAGTCTATGATGTTTTACTGTTTGCTTGTCTGTGTGTACAGTATCTCAGCACAGCCAGCAGTAAACACCTGTGGTCACCTATGGGGAGGGACCTGGGCGGCTGGGGATGGAGGTGAGCGATTGAATGTATTGCCTATTCAGAAAAGTAAACAAAATAAGTAACGGGCTTCATGGAGCTTCAGTTTTATTCTTTTTCCCTGTCTCTGTCTTCCTCTTTCTTGCCCATTCCCATGTGGCTTCTCCAGATTGCCTCTGGGGACTCCGAGTGCTACGTCAACAGCTTGGATTACTTACTGCAGGAGAAGAGGTGAGTGGGGAGGGTCCATCATGGGGGTCTTCATTTCTGTGGGGTTGGCAGTAATTTCATGGGTTTGTCCTCAGAGACTCAGAGCAAATTCCTCTCAGGATAAAGCAGCCTACCCCCGCCATCAGCATGCCTCCTGAGTGCCCTGTGTGCCCTGGTGAATAACGAGTGTGCAGAACAGTAGCGGGTCAAAGGGCAGCACCTCTGAGGCAGAGAGCCCCAGACCCTCACCACGCACAGAGCCCTCGTTCCGGTTCTGTCCCCACCTTGGCGCTATTCTGCCCAGTTCATGCTGGTTTAGGGCTTGCTCAGCTCCCACCGAGCAAAGCGGAAGAAGCACACTGCTTTGATACCGAGGCGCACAGCCTGACGATCGACTCCACGGTGACGGAGGTGGAGTGGGAGGGGCGGGGGGTAAGGAGCCAGCTTTTCCTGCGCCCTGCCCCGCGCCGCCACCTGAACACGCTTTGGTCGTTATTCCGTAGCGCTTGGTCTAGTTCACCTGCCCTCCCCCTGGGATTATGGTGAGCATGTCTCACGTGGAAGTTGGTTTCTAAAGGGAAAAGTCACATCCCATCAGAACTGGAAATCCCTTAGGGAGGCGGAGGTGGGGATGGAAACCAACCCCGGTGCTCTTTCTTTACTGGAAAGCAAGTGCTATGGTTGGCTTGCCCTGAGGGCCCATTTGGTGGTGAAGACACTAGAATCCTGCTCCTCCATTGGCCGCGAGGACTGGGGCGGCTGGGACGCAGTGGACTTCACCCCTGGGCTTGCGCTTTGATGCACGGGAGCACGTTGCCCGCAGGCTTATTCTTCTGGTGTTCTCATCCCTTCTCCGGTGTTGTTTTTGCTCAGTGTGTGCACACTCACTTTGCGGAAGTTAAGAGGCGGTGCTGTTGTCTGATGCTTGGGTTCTTGTCGGAATGACATCTCACTGGTCTCTGTTTTTCCCAATTCCCAGCCCATGTTCTTGCCCGCAAGAGGGGGTTAAATACACGTGTGGGATGAATGATTGTTTTCTCTCCTGTGTCTACTCCTGACCCCACCCCAGAGTCATCTTCCTCCTCTGGGCTCTTAATAGCCCATGACTTTTGTTTAACTCCTTTACCTGAGTATATTTTTCCCTAACCAGAGGGTAAGTTAGGGAAGGGGCCGTGTCTGTACGTTTGCACGGTATCCAGCTGTAAATATATTAGATACTCAGAAGTGTCAGCAGGAAAGTGAACACGCGTGGGGAACTACCTGCTCCTCAGTGCCTTGCATGGGAAGGTTCCTGCTCTGCCCTGCGCCCTGTGCCAGGCACCGGATATACGGATATGATGGTGAGCCCCACTCACCTGGAATTGAACGCAATGATTCTAGTATTTCCTGTGCTGTAAAGCTGCTATGGAGGGGCCTGGAACAGTGGCATCTAACTTAGCCTGGGAGTCAGGACAGGCTCCCCAGGGGGGATCCTTGGCCTTGGACCTTGGAGGACAAGAGTTGGGAGGGCAGCAGGAGTGACCACACATGTAAAGGCAGGAAGGACAGACCGTGCCTCTCCTGGCTGGCTAGGACTGGAATTCTCGGTGGCAGAGCGTGGGGAGTGGACAGAGCAGGAGATGCAGCCGAGATGTGAACGGGAGCCTCGTGAGCACAGGTCGAGTCATGGGCAAAGTTTAAGCAGGTCCTGATGCGTTTTGCCATGTGTTTAAGAGAGTGCGCTCAGGCTGCGTTATGGAGAATGGATGGGAAGCATGAGGGGGGAACAGGGTGAATGGTGATGAGACGGGACCTCGGGGAGCTCCCGTGGGACCTGCTGCCCTGGGTGGCTGGGGCCTGTGTAGGGAAGAGGAATTGAGAATTAGGTGCACGATGTCGGGAGGACCGGCCACATTTGGCTGGAAATCATCCATCTAGTGGCTGGCTCAAAGGATCTGAACCCAACACAGGCTGGGCTGGAGGCGAAGCCTTTGAGAACCGAGGACCAGTGGGCAAAGCCAGGGTGAGCACCCTGGACAGCTGGAGGGAACAAGGACGCAGAAGGCCAGGCGGGGACTGGTGCCCCCTTTTGGGGTTTGCGTGTGCTCAGGGCAGGAGGTAAGGGAGCCGGGCTCCGGCAAGATGATGGTCGGCACACAGGGCCTCTGGTGGGGCCGATTGAAAAGGGAAGTGAGGGCTTCCCTGGTGGCGCAGTGATTGAGAGTCCGCCTGCCGGTGCAGTGGACACGGGTTCGTGCCCCGGTCCGGGAAGATCCCACATGCCGCGGAGCGGCTGGGCCCGTGAGCCATGGCCGCTGAGCCTGTGCGTCCGGAGCCTGTGCTCCGCAACGGAAGAGGCCACAGCAGTGAGAGGCCCGCGTACAGCAAAAAAAAAAAGAAAAGGGAAGTGAGGCGCTCAGGCCTGGAGGGAGAAAATGGACTCAGGGGCGGGGCAGGGCAGGTGCAGTAGGGAAGGAGCAGGCCCGGGGGGCTGCCACTTGGGGCTGGAGAGGCAGGCCCGGGGGAGCCATGGGCACAGGGCTGGACGCGGGAGGAGTAGAAGGGCTAGGCCCTGCCCCTGGTGTGTTAAAGAGCGAGCAGATGCCAGAACAAAGTACACAAATAAAGGTGCATTTGACGTTGTGTAGCGTAAATTGTCTTCTTTCAGGCAGCACAGCTGATGCAGTGCAGTCCCTCCCCCGCCCCAGGAATCTAAGTCTAAGAGCTGTGTGCAGGGAGACAGGGCTCCAAGCTCCCTGGTCCCCGTGCCTAGGCCTTGCTGTGCCCTGGGAGGCCCCTGCAGCCCAGTGACGGCCCGGATGAGCAGGCACTGCACTGACCCTATTTTCACCTCTCACCTTCCGGCAGGCAACAGGCCCTGGAGCAAGAGCGAGAGAAGCTGCTTCTGCAGGACTGTCTTGACCTCTACTCCTCGGATCCTGATAACGTGCCGCTCACACCAGAGCACAGGTGCGGGGAGTGGGCACAGGTGGGAGGGGAGGCGTGTGCCCACTCAGGGCCAAGTCCCCGCACCCGCCTCTCCAAGCAGAGGGTTTAAGTGCTCACCTGCCCTTGGTTCTGGACAGTTTCAACCGCGGTTTGTGTGCTGTTGATGAGTTCTCAAGCTGCATCTTTCTCTTAATCCCACATCTGTTCATTGATTCGAGAAGCATTTATTCACCTACTGTGTGTCAGGGTCTAGTGTGGGCCTTTGAAGACACAGAGGTATAAAATACGGCCTGCTCTTCCCCAGTTGTCTGCCCAAACGTGTGGAACCAGGTCTCAAACTACAGTCTGAATGAACATTGACTTTACACGGGAAAATACAGCCACGTGACATTTTCTGTCTTCCCCTGTGTGGGGAAGGAAGGCGGCTTCTGTCAGAGCTGTCGTCTGGGCCGGAGTCTGCCGACCCGTTGGCTGGAGGGAGGGCTGGAGTCATCTGTACCATGGAGTCTAGGAGATACCTGAGGACCACAGTTGAATTCATCTTCAGGGTACCCTGTTATCCATTCATCCATTTGTCCGTCCGTCTGTCCATCCGTCTGTCTGTTGTCTACATGCCAACTTTGTGCTAGGCTCTGTGCAGACTCTGGGGGTACAGCAGGAAGAGAACCAGACAGAGGTCTCTGCCCCCGTGTTGCCCGCCGTCAGGGCGGGGAGACCACCAATGCACACGGTGAATGAAGGAAGTTGTGTGACAGGTGCTCATGAGAAAGGAGAGAGTGGGGAGGGGGTGTCAGCAGTGCCGGGAGGGCTGGAAGTTTCGGAGGAGGGGTCAGGGAAGGCCTCTGTGAGTGGCTGACTTTTCAGCAGAGCCCTGAAGATGGTGAGAGGTGGGCCTGGGAGGGCCTTGCGGCGGCAGCAGGGAGGAGAGAGGAGGTTAGGGAGGCTGCAGGAAGCTGGCTGCCGCTCATCTGAACTGGGTGGGGGGTAGACTCGGGGGGCGGGGCGCAGGGGTAGGTGGGGGCGGAGGGCGCCATGGTAGTAATCCCGGAGTCAGGGCCGGGTGCAGAGGAGGAGGCAAACTCTGGGTACGTCTTCAGGGTAGAACCGACGGGGTTTGCTGACGAGCTGGATGGAGGCTCTGGGAGAAAGAGAGGAATCAGAGGGACCCCGGGGATTTTGGCCTGAGCAGCCAGAAGGTCGGAGTTGTCTTTATTTAATGGAGGAGGGCTGAGTGACGCACGCTGGGGGGTGGCACGGGCACAAGAGTTCACTTGGGGGACCCCCGGGGTGAGACCAAGACAAGGACCCCCTTGTCTAGAGAGGCCAGCTTGGGAATCACCATGTATAGGTGACATTTAGAGCTGCAAAACCAGATGAGATCAGCCGGGAGCCGGCACAGAGAGAAGAGCAGGGGGGGCACAACGTAGAGGTCACGGTGACGTTGACAGGAGCAGCCCTGGGGGGGCGCCTGGGGCGAGCCTGCCTGGAGTAGGTTCAGAGGAGAATGAGAGGAGACGGCAAAAGAGGAGACTGGGCAGCAGCCGAGGGGGAAAGTGGAGCCGGGACAGATCTGTCTGTCTGTCTGTCTGCCTTCCTTTCCTTTCTCCCCTCCCTCCCTCAGGCCCCACGTGCCCCCATGTGACTGAGGCCAGGCTGGTCCACACACCCTGGATTGCCTGCCTGTCCGGGCCTTGCTTTCTCTATGCGTCCGGGTGACGTTATTCAGGTCCCAGCCGTGATGGTCTGGTTTGGGTGCTCACGCTGAGTCAGCATTCTGCATCCACTCACCGAGGGGCGTGAGCGATGACACACAGACACCTGGGGGCCCCCACTCCCAGGACCCCCAAATGGTTCTCACCATCACTGATGCCCAGAGAGGAGCCCAAGCAGCACCTTGGCTGCCCGTGTGCTTTTTGTCTCAAGTCTTTCTGCTAATTGTCTTTGGACTTGATCGGGGATCAGCAGACTTTCTGTGAATAGTAAACATTTCAGGCTTTGAGGACCATACAGCCTGTCGGCGGCTACGTGGCTGTGCTGCCGTGGCGGGAAAGCACCCGTCAACCATGTCGGCCATCGTAACCGGCGAGCCTGCTTGTGTCGCACTGAGACCTCGTTTACAGAAACAGGCGGGCGAGAGGAGGCCACAGCCTGTGTGCAATTGCTGACCCCTGGCCCGGATTAGGGGACGCCTGTCTCCTAACTGGTCCCTGTTTCCACACGCTGCCCAGGGGCAGGGAAAGGGTGCCTCGTGGTCTCACGATGGCTCCCTGCAGAGCATGAGGACTGAATGGAATCTGCGGGTTTGGGCCGAAGGCCTTGGTGGCATCATGAGTGATGAAGCAGTTTTCTATGTCGGGAGCCATGGGTTCGCTTTCCAGGTTCCCCGCTCCCTGGATGGATAGCCTTGGAAGTAAACATTTTGAGACATCTCTGTAGCCAGAATCATCTTTCTATCTGTTTGCCTTTCTCCTGAGTGCATCCAGGATTCTGGAAGTCATGGCCTGGATGTTTTGAAAATTCCCCACAGAAAGGGAGTTATCTGGGCATACGGTGTGCCAGGCTATGAAATTGCTGATAATTTTCTGGGCACGTGACACTTTCAAGTAGTACTTTGAGAAAGCCTTTTTTGACAGCAGCCACGGAGGTGGTTGTTTTGATGTGGGATCATTTTGATGGGACAGTTCAGTTCTCTGCTTCAAAGAAAATTACTGATGTACAAAGCCAGCAGCCTCTTCCATCCCTGAATGGGGCCGGGGGTGGGATGGGGGGTGCCAAGCAGGGGTGTGGGTCTGGAAGGGGTGAGGCCGAGGCTGGGGGCTGGCGACCATCTGGCGGGCAGGCCGCCTGTGACTGGGAGTCACGTGACCGCCACAATTACGCATCATAGAAAGGCCCCCAGTCATCCTGAGCAGATCATCTGCTCCCGCTCCAAGGATTGCTTGCGTCTTGAATAGACAGTGTCCTATATTCTCTGTTCCTTAAAGTTAAAAGACCTTATGTGTGTGCTGGGGCGGGGGGGGGAGGATATTTATACCAGAGCATCATCCTTTATCCTCAGTTCTGGGCTGCACAGGAAATCCTCAATTAGATGCGAGAGAGTCATCTCAGAGTTCTTAATAATGCACATGCATTATATTTAATATCACAAAAGTCCCTTTGAACAATGGTTTGGGGGACAGGAGCTGAGAACTTTTTACAGATGAGCCTAGTTCTTACAAACTTCTAATAATTTGTACCTTTCTTCGAATTATAAAAACAACATAGGGAACTGTAGATAGCCAGAAACTCAAAGAGCAAAGAAATTAACAGAACAGAAAATTGTTTCACCATTTGTGGGATGGTTTGCCAAGGCTACTTCCAAAGGCTGCGGGATCAGAATCTCCCCAATTTTCCGACGTCATTCCCATTCATTGTGCCATTTCATCCTTAGGATGACCCTCCTTACCTTAGGTCACTTGGCCAGAGCGTGACAGGTTTCCTCTGGCCAGCTGGTGGACCACCAGCTCTGCACCTCCACTTCCAGTGCCGGCCACTTGGTCCCAGATCCTCACGGGAGTCCCTGGCAGCGTCCCCTCCAAGTTCACTGCCTCAGGGCCTGGCTGAGAACCTGGGTATGGGCTTTCCTCTGGTGAGAGGAGGGGGTGGCTCGTTTTATTTTGTTCTTTTTATTGTTAAGCGTATGTTATATTACCACAAAATCAAGCCGAACACAGTTGCGTAAAATAAACGGGAAAATGTCTCTTCTTCCTTCCCCTCCCCCATACTGTTCCCTAGGGACGACCCCAGACCTTGGTTGGGCGCATCAGATGTGTGGGGGGGTGTTACCTGTGTCTAAGAACGTGCGTGTGCATGTCTGTGTGTTGACCTGCGTGCGCGCATGCACACCTCCTATCCTGCAACTTGCTATTTTCACCCACTGCGTGCTGTGCTCAGGGGATCATTCCATCCTGCGTGGTGCAGAGATCTGCCTCATTCTTAGGAATCCTCTTCACCACCTCCCTTAGATGCGTGCCCATAGAGTCGGAATGTATCTCCCTGTTTCTCCCCTGTCCGTGCGGCCCATCCCTGATCCACTGAATGAGACTCCCAGGGCAGCGTGGGCCAGGGTGTCTGCATTTAGCAGGCTCCCTGGAGAGTCCTTCTGCTCAGAGGAGCTTGAGGACGCTGCTCAGAGGGAGAGTCCAAGCAGTCCACGCGGGGGAGAGTCCTCCCCTCGAGGCACCGTGTAGCAGCTCTGAGGCTGGTCCCCTTGCTGGAGGGCATTGCCGTGATCCCGTTACGCTTTTCCTGTCCGTGCAAGGGCAACCCACGCCTGGCACTCGCAGTCGTGGGCACTCAGTGAAAGTTTGAACGCAGCCCATGGGTGGGGCAGGATCTGGGACCAGGATTCTGGCTCCTGGACCAAGGCCCTAAGGGAGGGGTTGGGGTCTGACCGAGAGTGGGAGGGGGAAGGGCTCCTCAGTCTGTATCTCTCGGCTCCCCCTCCGTCAGCAGGTGGCGCCGTGTCCCTGGGCTGGTCCCAACCAGGCGGGGGCTGCAGGGCGGGGGCAGCCATCTGGTCCCCCCTGGCCTCCCTCCAGGCTGCAGACCAGGTGTGCCTGCTGACGCCCGGCTCTCCTGCCTCTTGCTTTGCCAGGAAGCTGGTGGACAGGTTCTCCGTGTCACTGCAGGTCATCCCAGCAGTACATCCAGGCGAGACTGTGTTTCTACCCCGGCAGCACCCTCTGCCCTGCATCTTGGACTGTTCACACCTGAAGCCACAGAGCCGCCTGGAAGAGCTGTTCCTCAGGTAAACATTGGCGCATTACCAGGCCCCTCCCTCAGGGAACCCAGTGGTAAGGACCACCCCACATGAGGCAATCCAAAGCTGTGTTTTGCCAATTTGGATATGTCAGCTTTTAGGGAAACAGATGAAATAGCATACGTCAACTTATAATATTTCATTTACCAATTTAGATGTACACACTTTAAAAAATCTTACATTACAGCAGATATTAGGCATCTGTTCTGTAATTGTGTTGCCTCTCCCTCCCCCATGCCCCAGTTTCATGGAACAGCTCTGGTCACACCCATCATACATGCCTTTCGGGTTATGTCTCCATCAACACTGGAGACACTTTCCCGGCCATCCAGCAGTTCTCCAGAGCCTGTCATGGCCACTTCCTCCTCCTCCTTGGGTCTGTGTGTGATGCTGACCCTGAAAAGTTTGTCCCCAGCCCCAGGTACGCTCTGTATAACGTTAGGACAGCCACCCTGGTCCTCCTCTCGTTAGAAGGTGTTCATGGTCATTATCACATAACCCCTGACTATGTTGATTTTTTAGGGGATTTTTGAAAACTTTACCACAATACCACGCAACGCTTGCAACTGTGAGTTCACATATCTAAGAATAAGATAGAGAGAAAAAGCACAGGATACAGTGCAGCGGCCCTCCAGGGGGCTGGTGCCCTGCTGGGCCTTGGCGGGCCGAGGGGATGGAGGAGAGGCCACCAGCCCCCACCAACCCCTGCCCCAGCCTGTAAGGCACGTGGAGGTTGGGGCCACATTAGCACTTGAATGCAGGAATCTTGTTCTCTTTCCGGCTAGTCCATCTTATTTTATAATAGAAAGATAACAATGTTTTGATGTGTTTCCTTTAAAACTCTTTAGCATGGGAAGTTTCAAACATACATCAAAGTAGAGTGTACCTCCATGTACCCATCACTCAACGTCAGTTACCAACTCAAAGCCAATCTTGGTTCATCTCTACCCCTGCCCACTTACGTTGTCCCCTCAGGATTATTTTTAAGCAAATCCCAGACACATACAATTTAATTCGGTAAGCACTTCAGTCTGTGTCTCTAAAAGACTCTTGTCTTTAGACAAAACTTCAGTATATTATTACACCTAAAAAAATCGGAATTTCTTAATAGCATTAATTAATATCAGTCAGCATTCAGATTTCCTTGATTGTCTTTTAAGTGTTTTTTAATATGTTGTTGAAATCAGAATCCAAACAAGGCCCAAATGTTGCAATTAGACAAAGAAATGTTAATGGTGAAACTGTATCCTGTGGCACTGATGCCCCAACATACTTAACCATTTTCCTCATTTTTCTCAACATGCAGGTTGTTTCCAACTTTTCCCCCCACTGTAAACAATGTGGTAGAGAGTATCCTTATACAGAAATATTTTGTCTGCAGTTCTGGAATAGATCCCTGCATATGACGTGAGGTGATTGGGTCTGAGGGTATGCATATTGGTAAAGTTCCCATTGCCAAATTGAAAGTATTTCTGATAAAGAGATGATGAAAAGGGGGGGGAAAGGAATGAAGAGAAAGAAGTAAGATAGTGGAGCTGGAGGAAGGAGAGGGACAGAGCACGGCTGGGCAGGGGAGGAGATAAGAGGGGAAAGGCAGGCGGCTTCCTGAGCTGCTTCTCCTCGGGCTCTGTGCCAACAGCAGGTTTTCTGTCCCAGGCTGGATGGCCGGCAGGAAGTGTTTGACAGATGAGATGGCCCGTGGTGCGGTGGCCTGGGATCCGAGCGGCCGTGCCAAATGGGGCCAGGTGGCCAGCCAGCTTCCCTGGAGCGGGGAATCCAGACCCTGCGCCCTCAGGTTTGCTCACGAAGCAGGGCAGAGATGGGGCTGCAGGGCCTGGCTCGCGGGGCTTCCTGGAGGAATGCCCGCGCCCTGCCCGCGGCCAGGTCAGGGGGCGCCTGCCATGCACCGGGGAAGGGCCACTTCCTGAAGGTCACCCTTTAGCCTGGGGAGGGGGGGGGGTCATCCTTTATTTCCTGTTTGTGCCAAGGACTTCAAGCCCAGACACAAGCGTGAGGGTTACTTGCTAGCCGTTCAATAATTATCCCGTTGTGCGCAGCCGGAAGCACGAAGATGGAGGAAGAAGAAAATGTTACTTGATCTCTCAGAGAACAGTATGGTTCAGTTTCTCACCGGAGAAAAAGTGAACACTTTGTGAGATGGCAGGTGACTTTTATTCTCTTCATTAGACTCCTCTGTATTTTCCACACTTTCTGTGATAAACACGTATAGTTTTTATCATTAGAGGTTTGGGGGGGAAAGTGAAGGAGATTTAAAGAAATCACTTCTTGAAGTAGATTTGCTGCTTCTTGCTGTTCGGTGAAGAGGGATATTGTCTTTCTTTCCACTGCACAAAGTGGGAAATCTTGGCACAGGTTAAACCAGCAGTTTGTCTCAGATTGCGGAGCGAGGGCGGGCGCCGGGCCTGGTGCTCCCGGCTCGGATCTACACAGGTTTACATGCAAGAAATCTCCTCCCAGAACCCACAGCTGTGGGGCTGGAGGTGGCCCGGGCCATCCTCTCTCGTTTGTCACCCGGCTGGACGTGTGACCTCAGGTCGGTTCCCTGGGACCAAAGTCACATGCTATGACAGACGCTGGTACCAGGGGCTGAACTTTTTCCTCCGCCTCTAATCCCCCCCCAGCCCCGAGTGGAAAAGCTGTAGGACCTGTGCCCACAGGCAGCTCCAAGGCAGGAGCCAGTGCCATGGGGGTGGGGTGGGGGGTGGGGGCGTGGAGATTGCCCGCTGAAGTACCCTGGGCCCCCCGCAGTGTGTGCGGGAGCGTCAGGACCCATGTCTGTCCTCTGGGTGCACCGGCCGCTCTCCCCGTGAGGTGTTTGCAGTGTGTTCTCGGGGTACCTGATACGCCGACGGGGACCTCCCTCCGCGATGGCTTCAGTGGGCAGGGGAGGGGGTGGGTCGGAGCTTCACGGTGTGAACGATGCACATGCACCGGACCCCCGCCCACCCCGAGGCCCAGGCCCCAGCTCCTGTTTTGCCAGGGGCAAGCCCGGGTGAAATAAATCCGGCAGTTACAGAGTGTGGACGGGGCTGAGCCGCCCAACTGGCTGCGCCTGCCCCCAAACTCCAGAGCCAGCAGCAGTGGCCAGCCGGGTTGTTGCTGGGATCCCTGGGCTGCTAACCAGCGTGGCGCTCACTGATGTTTAAACAAAGGGAGGAAAACGAAGAGGAGCAGGGATGAGCGCTTGGACCGCCGTCTGTTGCTGTTCTTTTCCTCGGCATTTCACTTAAGCTAACATTTGAGTAGCCTGGCAAAGGCGCGGAAACTGACACTGTATAAATAACGGCGCTCGCTGTTTATCCCTCTGCCATCACTTGGGATTCCCGAGGCATTTAGAGACTTCGCCCTCTGGGACGGCCGCCCGTAAAACAGATGAGAGATGGGGGCTGGAGGGGTCCTGACGCGGGCCTTATCAGGAACCCACCGTCCAAGCAGAAGGTCGGAGCTCCACCAGGAGCCCAGCCTGCTGACCCAGGCTGGGGCCTTTGTTCTGTGTGATTCCCCTTTGGGGCTGATCCCCCCGCCCCCCGCAACCTTCCTTCCTTCTGTTCCCATGGCCCCGTGTCCTTGCCGCGGTGGCAGGGCGTTAGTGCATTCTGGCAGCTCCCTGTCTGGGTGGGGACCTCCCCCCCGCCCCCCCTCCCCGGGATCCTGAGGGTTGGCAGCTGGGGCTTCGCGCTCAGCTGGGCCTGCCTGGCATCTGCTGCCCAGCAGGAGGCTCTGCTCCTCCCCTTCTTGCTCCGAGACATTCTGACATTCTCAGGATAACTTCTGACCTTGGCCTTTGCTTTGCCACAAGCACAGGCACCCACCTGGACCCGGGGTCAGCATTCTTGGCTTGTGGACACACCGTGGGTTTGTGTAAATCTGACAGCAGTTGATTCCGTAACCTGCGGTGTTTGAGTTTGCAGCGCACACACCTGCCACACGCTTCCCTTCTCCTCCAGGCCTCCCCACGTGCTGCTGTGCAGACTCTCCTCCTGCCTCAGATCAGGGCAGTGTCTGCACGCCAGGCCCATCCCCACCCTTCCCCCAAGCGGGAAGTTACTTCTGCCGCCGGCCTGTCCTTCCACTGAGTGGTGATGGGACTCGTGGTGCAGCCGGCAAGGCAGCACTGCCTCCCTCACACCGAGCACACATGGAGGAGAGTGCTCGCATCTCATCAGGCTGTCGGCACAGAATTCCTTGAAAGCCGTTCGCTTCGAGGCACAGCCGGACCGTGCCCTCTCGGCGTACCTCCAGCTCCTGGTCTTGCAGACTAAGCCTAGCTCAGCAGCAGTGAACCCAAGGCGGACTGAGCATTTCTCTGGCAGAAACTGCACTGCAGAATGGTGTAGCAGAAGGGAGACATTCTCACCCAAGGGGTATCTCTCCCTCTGAGCAGCAGTCGGAAATGTGTTTATCTGAGCCTACAGGGGCTCGTACAATCAATTCCCCTACTGAGAAGCTGGCGGGTGCCCCCCGAGCAGAATGCCAGAGCCAGAGTCTCCTAGAGTCCCCGGAGCCCCAGCCTCCTTACCACATGGCCCCTGGCCAGGTCCTGCCAATTTGTGAGGCCCTCCAGACACGGTGTGCTTGGGTATCGTCTAGTGTTCGGGGTGCTGTGCTTGAACCACGCATGCATCGCGGGAGTCAGTCCATGAAAGTGTCCGTGTGACTGAGCACGGGGATCAGAGTGGTGTGTGCCAGCAGCCCTGGGGTGCACATGTGTTTGTATGTGCAAATAAAGGACTGTTTTAGAACGGCCAGCTTCACAAGCACAGGAACAAAGTTGCTTTCTCTGAACCTAAATGATTTAAAAAAAAGAAAAAGACATATACAATTTGTAAATTGCCTGGATATACTCAAGCAGACAGCAGCTTGGCTCCGAGGAGAATCTTTGTTTTGGAGCATTCTGTTCCTGGCAGATTAAAGTATGATGTCCTTTTTAAAAAAGAGAGGAGGAGGTTGGGCTGACCGAGGAACTTTCTCTCTCGAGTCATGACTTTAAATGCTGTCTGAAATGCTCTTTGCCGGGATTTGGCCATTAAAAAAGAAGAACAAACACGAAGTTACTTTTTCATTTTCTGGAATCCTTATTAATTGCCTTTAGGACGTTATCTAGAAAGAGAGCGAAGAGGCATTCACCAAACACGGACGGAGTGGGAGAATCCTACCCCACACCCAGCCTCCACGGGACGTCCAGGAGTACAAGAGGGTGATGCAGTCCAGCCAGCCCCTCTGAAACGAAGCACCTTCCACCAGAGGCCCTAAAACCGCACAAAATATATCAGCTCCTCGTTGTACAGGGACGTGGGATCCTGTGGGTCCAGATGATCTATCGGGGCAACAGTGTACTCAAAGCAGGGCTCCTCTCCACGCCAGCAGCTCCTGGCGGGAGGGAAAGGCCCCGCCGGATCCAGTCGGGAATGGAATCGCAGGTTAGGGCCCCAGGAGTATGGAGTCTGAGCGCCCTTCCCCCTTGGCCCTGGGACCGTCGCTGCTCACGTGGTTTCCAGAGGATCCCACGTGGCACCCTTGGTGGTTATTTCCTTCCCAAAACTTCCCCGTCTTGGGCCCCTTTCTGTTACTTTCCCATCTTCTCAGGTGTCCCCTTTGTTTCGGAAAAACACAAGACGGGGCAGACACGCTCTGTGTAACCAGACCCCGGATGCTGGCTCCACGTGGGCCCCATGGGTAATTCTGTCCGCCCGCTGCAGCCCGGAGCCCTCAGCTAAAAGGTGCGACTCCCAGGCCCCTCTCCTCATTGCAACGCAGGTCCTTTTCACAACCCTGGTAAATACCTCAGTTTCCTCCCACCCCCGTCAAATGGGAAGGACAAACTGTATTCCTCAGTCGTGTGTTTAAAACACTGTGAAGGGAGTTCCCTGGCAGTCCAGTGGTTGGGACTTAGTACTTTCACTGCCATGGCCCGGGTTCGGTCCCTGGTCGGGGAACTAAGATCCCGCATGCCGCACGGCATGGCCAAAGAAAAACCAAAACCAACCAAACAAAAAACCCTACTGTGACATGTGTTCGTGGACAGCAGATGATTCTGATGGTGCCACGGGTTGTTTTACCTTCCAGCGGGTGCTCGCACCAGGGCTCCACCAGCAGTTTTGTCCAGAGCAGGGACTGACGCGCTTCTAGCATCCCGGTGAAGCGGAAATGTGAACCATCCCCCTGAACCCAGCCTCGCCAAGACAGGCGTGTTGAGGAGGCTCCCTCCCTGACCTCGCCCCTCTGTCCCTTTGCTCCCACAGCTCCCCGCCGGCCCAGCAGCTCTCCTTCCTGCGCAGCGGCCTCCTGAGCAGCCTCTACCTGCCCTCGGGCCTCCGCCCCGTGCCCCTGCTCCGGTGGCTGTTCCAGGTGAGCACCGCGGCCTGCCGCCAGGGGGCGGGAGCGTGCCGGCACAACAGTCTGGGCAGGGCCGCTGGCAGGGGGGGCTGGGCACCCACCCTCTTCTTCTGGCCTTGGGTGCTGCTGGGTTTGTCCCAGCTGAGGCTGGAGGAGGGAGGGGGGCTTGTGATGACAGAGACAGGGAGGTGCAGGGACCGGTCTGTTGTCTTCACTCCGGTCCCCCCAGAGCGTGTGCCTCACAGGGTGTTGCTTTGCCCCCAGAGGCCCTCTGTGTGATTCCGGCAGGGCCGCTCAGCAGGTGTGAGCACCTGCTCGCCTTGTGTCCAGGCTCATCTCCAAGTCACAGGTCCCGGCCCTCGTCCCATGGGCAGCGGGAGCACAGCCCTGCGGCAGCCTTGCAGGTGTGAGGGCCCTGGTGAATGCTGAGCTGGGGTGCTCGGGTGTTTGCCTCCCGCCGTGGAGTTGTAGGTCGGCTGGAAAAGCCTAGAACAGCTGCTCTGTCTTCCCCTCCCTTCCGTTCCGGTTGCTGCCAGGGGCACATGCATTCTGCCCGGGGCTCAGAACCTTTGCGCTGAGAAAGACAGTGAGAAGCCAGCAGGGAAGGCCCGGGAACCAGCTGCTGGGATCTGAACGCGGGGCACGGGGATGCAGCCTTGGCCCCCACCCAGGACCTTCCCTTGCCCGGGGACCGGCAGGTCCCAAGTTCCAGCTGGTCCCATTCCTGCCAGTTGGAGCCTGGACCCCAGCCGTGAATTAGAGCCACCCTGCGGGGCGGATTGTCCTCGGAACTCCTCGGCCTCGGCAGGCTGGCTGCCTTCCAGAAGGAGCCCTCTGGCTCTCTCTCCTTCCCTCTGGGCTCCATCCCATCGGCCCTGCCCTGCCCCTCCCCCGGGCCCAGGCCACACAGGGAACAGAGCGGCCATTATTCTCCGTCCACACTCAGTGCAGGCTTCTTTCTCCTTGCTCAGCGCACGACAGACGCAAAGTCGGGCATCGGAGGCACAAAGAGCCGGTCTGAGATGTCGCCCACAGAGGGTCCTTGTGTGACCCTGACACGGCGTGGAGGCGTGAGCGAGCCCCGCCTTGTCTCTCCCCCCACATCTGTCACCTGAGGGGTCCCCGAGAGCAGAGGACAGAGCCCTGCTCCTCCACATACTACTGTGTGACTTGGGGAGTTATTTAACATCAGCTCCGTGCCTCAGTTTCCACTCTGTAAACTGGGGTCGGTAGTCCCACGCGAAGGCTGAGTGAGGAAATCCTGTGAGCTGCCTTGTCCTTATAGCCCCCCGAGGTTCTGCCCAGGGTCTGGGCATCATCTGGAAGAAATGAAGTTAGCACGGAGGTCAGGTTCTCCATCTCCAGCAAGGAGAAACAAAGCAGCTCCTCTCCCTGCCCACGGCTAAAGTCAGATCAGTGAAAGGGGTGCGCTTGGCCTTGGGGACCTCTTCTGGGGGAGACCCTGCCCAACATCTTTGTCTCCGGAGGGGAAGGAGGACCAGGGCAGCTGCTGTCTGCCACTCACGTGATCACACTACAGGCTTTAGGATGGGCTCTGATGTTTCACTTCCGAGGTTTTGGTTTTCTTGTCACTTGGAACTTATTTTCCCACAGCAACAGTAGCATTGGTTCTTTTGCAGACCTTGGTTCAGGACAGGCTACATGCTGAGCTCTAGGGACAGAAAGGTCCTGGAAATGGTGTCCCAGGTAGATGCGTAGAACGTGGCCATGGGGTTCCGCATACTTCAGAACCGCGCGCTGTTAGTGAGAGGCACAGATCCACGGGGGCTGCCTGAAGCTGCTGGGGCGGGTGGCGCTCCGATGAAGGTGCAGGGGCGGTTCGTGGGATCCAAGGGCAGGGATACAGCTGGGCCTCAGGGTGAGCTGGAACCAGGTTGGACAAGGGTTGGGATCCTAGGACAAGCTTTCGGCTTCTCTCTGTACCCCAGGCTCCATGGCTAAGTAAATTCTCAGGAAAGAGAGTCTGATTGGCCTAAGAGGGGTTCAGTGACCACCCCCAATCAAAGGCAGCTAGGGGAGCAGGCTCACAGGGCTGCTGGGGTCCCACATGCATACCCGGGGTTGATTCTGAGAGCTAGGGGGTGGGGGAGTTGAGCAGACCGCTCCAACCCTGCTCCTTCAACTCTCTGGAAAGGCCATCCTGTGTCCCCATAGAGACTAGTTCCTGCTGTCCGCCACCCTCCCTGAAGCCGGGGGCTTCAGTGGGGTGAACAGTGGGCGCTGGGTGAGTAGGCTTCAGCCTTAGTGCTCGTGAATTGTGTGAGCTCGTCACTGGAGCCCTAGTGTATGCTTCCCAGGTGAGCTTTGCTGGGGAGGGCAGACAAAAGCAGGAAGCTTATGCTGTCAGTGAATTTGTATTCTTGTTGGGGAACGATCACGTGTTCGACTATAAAAAAGTTAGGAAAGGAAGAGGGAGGCAGGGTTCTCGTGTCTTAGGTCAGATCCCTGGGAAGCAGGAAGCCGCCCCTGTGAGGGAGGGAGGGCAGCAGGGCCGGGGCAGAAGGAGAAGCCGAGTAGCAAAGCAACTGCATGCCAGGCCACGGCCAGTCCTGGGGTGCTCTGGAACTGGGATTACCCTTTAGAGTTGTCCCATTTGAGGCAAGGGGTCCTGGCCTTTGGACCCCAGCATCGGCTAGTTATCAGACGAAGGCTGCACTTGGAGAGGGGGGTGTGACCTTGGGTGAGGGACTCCCTCTGTCCGAGGTCAGTCAGCCAGCAGCAATGCCCAGCCCGTGGGGGTGGGAGCCTTGGTCCTGAACCGAGCGCCCACTGCAGCGGGCTTTCCTCGGCACTCTCCAGAGGGAGGATGGTGTGCTGCACGGCGTGGCCTGGCCTCACCTGTGTGTCCCCGGACTGGATGGCGCTGGTGGGGAGGGTGCATGTCTCCATGTCACACTCTGTTCACGTTCCAAATCCCCAGCTGTGGCCGCAGACTCAAGGAGTGTTCGAATAAGAATCCCAGTGCGTTTGAGTCAGGTGGGTGCCCTGCCCACCCTCCCCCCACCAGCTTGTTGAGGATCCGCACTCAGTACCTAGGACCTCCCAGAGCCGGTGGGCTCCCGAGGCTCAGATGTTCGGAGTGAAGGCCCTGGCCTGGAAGTGATGTGAGGGCCTCGAAGAGGGGCCGCACTTTATCTTGTACAGCTGACGGTAGTCAGTGCCGCTGAGCTCTTTCTCTTCCCTACACCGGTTCCTGCCCTGGAGGGGCGTGGCTGTGACCACAGGGAGTGAGGGGCAGAAGGACCAAGACTCCCACACAGGGAGGTGGACAGAGTAGGAGATTTCAAGTCACATAGACCTGGGATTGAATCCTGGCTTTTCTGCTTCGTTGCTCTGTGACCCTGGGGAAGTTGCTTGACCTCTCTGAGCTTGGTTTCTTCATCTGTAAAGCAGCAATAATGACAATATCCTTCTACTGTGTGGATTCGTGAGGATTAAATGGGACGTATTTAATATGGCGTAATAAAGGTTTCTGCTATTACTCCATAGGAATGACCCAGCTAACCTGTTTTTTTCTTCTCCTCCTAGCTGCTGACATGGCCTCCAGAAACTTCTTTGGGAGCCTTTGGTCTCCTGTGGGACCTCAGCGTGGATGGGCTCTTCCGTCCGTCTGGTCAGTACCTCGGGTGCAGGGCAGCAGCTGGCATGCTGGGTACCCAAGCTCGAGAGCCTACATAGTACTCAGCTCTCAGCCCTGCACCGCCCCAGCCCAGTGTGTGGGAGAGGTGCTAGTGGGGGTGTTGCATCACCGGGACACGGAGACATCAGGCCATCTTTGGCTCTGGCTCCTGCGTTAGTAAAAAGCTGAGCCAACAGGCTCCCCAGCACCTTCTCTGGCCTCAGCTCCATGTCACCAGGGCCAAGTCCAGGCTGACTTCACAGCCTTAGGATCCTGGAACAGTCTGGGAGCTGGGTTCTCTGGATTTACGAGGACAGCTTGCCTCCAGCTTCTTCCTGAGAGCCCCAGTTTGCTTGGGTGGGTTCCAGGAACATCTGCATCAAATCAGGGAAGCTCTTTGGGTTGGAGTCACCAAGGGGGAGGGCCCTGAAGCTGTGCCCCTACCCACAGCCCTCCTCAGCTCCTAGGGCATCAGCGGAGCCCCTAAGTTTGGACTGGGCTGGAGTGAGAGCTTTGAGTCTGTACCTTGGTCCTGACATGTAAAGGATACACTTAAGTTATTTTTATTTGTTTTTTTTTTTAGTTTATTTACTTATTTTTAGCTGCGTTGGGTCTTTGTTACTGCGCGTGGGCTTTCTCTAGTTGCAGCGAGCGGGGGCTACTCTTCGTTGCGGTGCACGGGCTTCTCATTGCGGTGGCTTCTCTTGTTGTGGAGCACGGGCTCTAGGTGCGAGGGCTTCAGTAGTGGCACGTGGGCTCTAGAGCGCAGGCTCAGTAGTTGTGGCGCACTGGCTTAGTTGCTTGGAGGCATGTGGGATCTTCCCAGACCAGAGCTCGAACCCCTGTCCCCTGCATTGGCAGGCGGATTCTTAACCACTGCGCCACCAGGGAAGTACCTGAGTCATGTTTACCCTTTCAGATGTTCAGAGTTCCACAGAAGCAATTAGTTTCCCCTTCTGTGGCTGCACCCTTACCGGGCTGTCATCGTTTGGTGCCTGAACCTAGACACTTTGGCACCAAAAAATATCATGTAACCGATTGAAAGGTGCTTAGGGCAGACAGCGAGAGGGATCCACAGGTTTCCAGACCGCGCCCTCGCCCACCAGCTGCAGTCTGCCCACGCTCCCGCTAAAACATGGAAGCACGTAGCTCTGAAGGCCAAGGTTATAGGCCCATGATGCACCATTAACCCCCCACCACCACCACCGGCAAGCAGCCCTTTGAATTTCTGCATTTGTGCCTCCCCTCCAGGCGTTGGCTGAGCTGGGGGCCATCTGTCACATTAGAGCATTCCAGACTCCTCCCACTCCCCCCTCCCCCGCCCCTGCCCCTACACCTGGGACCCTCTAACTGAGGTCCTCTGAATAGCGCCAGTCTCGGCCTCCTCTCCCTTTGCATAACCTCTGCCCCTGCAGCCTGGGCTGCCCTTTCACGCCTCTGTGGCAGGCCTGCGCTTTGGGGAACAGAGGCCTCCCTTGTCCCACTCTTCTCCTGCGCGAGGTGGTCTGTGTCTCCTCCCGCTGAGGCAGAGGGGACGTCCCACTCTTCTTTGCTTCTTGCCACATTGTCCGTGATTCGCCCTCCACTGGGATGGGGTGGACCCGGGAACGGGCCCTTGAGTTCAGCTCTGGTAGCTCATTCCACTGCAGAGCGGTTCTCCCGGCATTAAGGTGGGGGCGGAGGGGGGGGGAGGATGTCTCTTTCCCTCCCGTTGGAATAGAGACTGGGCCACAGAATGCTGTGCCCAAGGTCAGGATCTTGATTGGTTTGGGCAAAGGCAAAGGCCTGGTTCGCAAAAGAAGGGAAAGCGGGGACTATTTGTACCCCCGTGTTCACAGCAGCATCACTCACAACACCCAAATGGCGGAAGGGACCCAAATCCCAATCGTCCACTGACGCCTGAATGGATAAGCAAAATGTGGTCTATACATGCAGTGGAGTATTATTCAGCCTTAAAAAGAAAGGTAATTCTGGGACTTCCCTGGTGGGCCAGTGGTTAAGGCTTCGCCTTCCAATGCAGTGGGTGTGGGTTCCATCCCTGGTCAGGGAGCCAGGATCCCACACGCTTGGCAGACAAAAAACCAAAACATAAAACAGAAGCAACATTGTAACAAATTAAATGAAACATTTAAAAATGGTCCACATTCAAAAAATCTTTGAAAAAAAAGGGAAGGAAATTCTGTCACATGCTACAACGTGGATGAACCTTGAGGACATTGTGCTAAGTGAAATAAGCCAGCCACAAAAAGATAAATACTGTAGGATTTCTCTTATATGAAGTACCTAGAGTAGTCAAATTCATAGAGACAGAAAGTAGAATGGTGGTTGCCAGGGGCTAGGGGAGGGGGAATGGGAGGTTAGTTGTTCATGGGTACAGCGTTTCAGTTTGGGATGATGAAAAAGTTCTGGAAATGGGTAGTGGTGATGGTGAACAATGTGAATGTACTTAACACTGCTGAACTGTACGCTTAAAAATGGTTAAGATGAAAAAAAATGGTTAAGATGGCAACTTTTACGTTATGTGTTTTTTACATAAGTTTTAAAAAGTAAAGGCCAAGCCCAGAGTCAAGAGCCAGGTGCCAGGAGAGAATCTACCAAAAGCTGGAACTGGAAATCAACTGCTAGTTCAGGGAGCATTTGTATGGTTAAATTAGATCCAGGATTGATGCAAAAGGAAGTCATGTTTCTCAGATTTGTCAACGACTTGAGGTGCTCTGTGGGGCACTGCCCTCTGGGGCAGAACTGTGGGGCTTTGGATCTGTGATTGGTATGTGAGTTTTCAAGTTGCCTGGCCTTTCTCTTTTGTAAAATGGGGGAGACTTGCAGGTGTGTAAATTTCCATCTTTTTCTGGAATATGTAGCTGACCAGAGGTTCTTCCTAGATTATCCCGGGAAAGGTCTTACACAATCGCCTTCATCACAGCCTGCTTCCTGAGTAAGGGGAGAACCCGGGTGAGGCCGGGTCTCTGGCAGGGCCTGGGATCCAGGCTTCAGAGTTGACCGTCATGGGTGTGCTCCGGGCGACTGGGGCTAAGGGCTGAGAGCCCACCGTTTGCTGGAGGATTGGAGTAAGGTGGGAATTGTTTTCCTGGTTTAAGAAGATGGTTCCTGCCCTCAGGGGGCTGATAGGTGGGAGGGGATTAAGTGTCCAATTACAATAGGAGATAGAGAGGAGGCAGAGGCAGAACTACTTCTAGTTAGACGGGGGAGGCAGGAATCGGGAAGTGCTTTGTAGAAGAGGGAGCGGTTGATTCATCTCCCAAAAGACGTGTAGGGCAGGGATTGCAAACGCGGTTGCAGTGGGGACCTAGTGAGATCGGTGACTAGAGAGCTCCTGGCCTGTCTAAAGAGGCTGGCTCGTGCCGTTTTGCCAGATCTGTCCATTTTCAAGAGACGCTATGTTTTAGTTGGGATGTACTTGGACTCGTAAGTAACAGATGTCCAATTAAGAACAGTTTATCATCTCACATGACAAGAAATCCAGAAGCAGGTTGTTCCATGGTATGTTCAACAGATTTGCATCACCAGGGCTCTGGCTTAGCTTGTGTCTCCCTTCCCACTACTCCCCCTGAAGGCTGCAGAATGGCTTCTGTAGCTCCAGGCATCATCATGTTCTCACAAGACAGCAGGGTTCAAGGCAGAAAGGATAAATAAGGGTGAGGGATAAGAGATCATTGCTTCTTATATATTTTTCTCTCTTTTTATCAGGACATTCTTTCCATTTTGTTTCATTAGACAGAACTGGATCACAGGCTCTAGAAGACCCCTTCTACCTGCCGGTACCCTTTGAATACCGTGGCTTTGTCTAAAGAATTTTCAGCCTCATGAATCCTATACCTCCAGGGTAGAATCCAGGAGACTCTTTTTTTTCCAGCCTCCTTTCAAATATTTGAATTTTTAGTTTTGGAATTTCCATCTAGTCCTTTATTGTTTTTTATAGTTTCTGTTTCTCTATTGGGATTTCGTATTTGTTCCTATTCAACATGAGCATATTCTCATTTGCCATCTTGAGCACAGTCATAATAGCTGCTTTAAATCTTTGTCATTCTAACATCTGGAGCATCTAATTCACTACATGGAAAATTAAGTATGAAAGGGAACATTGAGAAATGAGTCAAGAAATCATACCAAGTAAATACCAGGGCTCTTTGTCCTAGATCTCTCGGATATTTTCCAGAACTGTTCACGGAGAATCGCCTGCTGCTTGCGGCCTGGCTTCCCTACCTAACCTAGAACACTCGCGGGACTGTGCAGGTGAGGTGTCCTGGCGTTCAAGCTTCAGAACCTTTAAGGTCAATCGGTTTTTGACATTTAATAAAACTGTTTTCTGCTCAAACAGCCAGAGCCTGTTTCTGTTGCCGTGGCTCTCCACCACGGGCTGATGTGCTTCCTCCACTGGGGTGGACCCACTTGCCCCGAGCAGACACCAGGATGAAATGAGCGTTCCCTTCCCAGGGAGGAGGGGGAGCATGGCTCTTGGATAGGCAGCCAGCAGAGTCTGTTGTAGCCAGAATACGGATGTTTATGTGAAATCTCCTGTTGGTAACTAATTCTGTTAGGAAACAAACCCCAAAAACGCCCCACTGTGAACCCATCTGCAGACTATTTGACTGTAGATAGAATAGAATATAGTTCTACTGGTTTGCAGCCCTGGGCATAGCCCTGGCTGTGGAGAGATTGGGGGGAAGCCAGGAGCAGCGAGAGTGGGGCTTCCTTTAAGGGGCTGAGTAGGAGATAAGACTGGACGTTTCGGGCCAGATCTTGGAGGACAGTGGGGGCCATTACAGGTGTAGTGAAGCTTCATTAATATTTGGCAAGACTAGGACAGATTGTTGTTGTCGTTGTTATTTAGATACATTTCATGTACCATATAATTCACCCTTTTAAAGTGTATGATTCAGTATGATTCACAGAGCTGTTCAACCACTGTCTAATTCTGAAACATTTTCATCACCCGCAAAAAGAAACCTCAGACCTCAGCAGTCACTGCCCAC